TAAATCGGCAATACAAACGAAAGTTACCAACAACGACAATAAATATGTCCCATGCGGATCCTGCGACTAATCATTATCAAAACTTACAAAACTTATGTAATATGGACGGTACAGTTACTGTATTGATTGCCGTACTCATTCCCGAACCTCTTGTTTACGTAACACTGTAGTTACAGCATGATCTCACTTATTTTCTATGTTAAAATCCCCCAAAAAGTGAATCACACTATAATTGAGTCAAATTGTGATACAAAATCGCAAACAAAAAAATGTCGCTTCGATAGAGATATCGCAACCTGCGTTGATTATACAGTGTAAGAGTCAATTTTTCTTAAATGGGCTTAATTTATTTGCAGAAATCTTCACTTCTCGCAATCTTACAGAGTGAATACTGATACAAGTTCTATTGTTATTTCACTGTTCTAAGTACCGTAATTTTAGTCAACTTTTGGTACAAAATGTCAAATAAAAATATTTCAAAAGTAATAGCGCAAATTCCGTAGATTTTAGGTTGAGAAGGACTTAAAAAGCAATACTATATTAATAGCACGTACAGCATGAGAAAAGATAAAACTCTATCAATATCACAATCTGTATTAATACAAGCTCAGTATGCGTACCTAAATCATAAATTTCTATTGATACCACCGTACCATTCTCGAACTATATATATATATACTGTACACCGATAAATATTACTTGTACTTACCAGTATTTACTGTATTAAGGAACTCGATTGATTGAACACTCCATATTTAAATTTTTTCATTTACTCACTCGAGTCTGGCTAATGTTATCTCGGAATAATATATTTTACTTCTAGTGCCTATCCTCCAGAGATTTCTTTGTTATTGCAAATGCTAACGAGGACTATGGCATTTCGTATTCTCAATTCTCATCTATATGCCCAGCCATTCTACAACAAGTTCTGAGCAAAGCTTGTAAAAATGATACCAAGTATGTTACTACTACTCCTCCTCCTTCTTCCAACAACGTGCCAGATCCTTTACAAGGTAAGTAACAACGTTTAATACATCCTTTGCGAAGAGGAATGCCGGCTCTTTCTTCAACCAATTACTGAAATAGTGATACGACAGTAATGCTGTTCACTAAAGATTTCCCTGTTCTACTTGTAGTGTGGGGATTCGGCGTTCTATTTTCAACAATTATTTGTTTGGGATCTGTCATCGGAGCTGCTATACTGCCTTTCATGAATGGAGCAACGTATAAGAGAGCGATGATATTTATGATAGCACTCGCTGTCAGTACTTTATCTGGAAACGCTGTATTACATCTCATACCGAGCGTGAGTACCATTATGTTAATAGGGTTACCATTTTTATGACCTAATTTTTCATAGAATCTATCCGATACCTTCCAAACATTTTATGATACTGAAGATACACTGTATATGTACACTTTTTAAATTCAGGTTATTTTATTTACGACTAATTCGCCGAACAAC